TATTCAGTTTCTTTTCTCAGGGACGCTAATTTTGCTGATGTTAGCTATTCTTTGTCTTCCATATGGATATTTTCCTCTCCAATCCTTTTCATGCTTTTTCCCCATTTTGTCCGCTTTTCCAGCCAGGTTTTTATTTCCATCTTTCCCTTTGTTTTGCATTCAGTGGTGCCTCCATTTCTGTAGTAGTTTTATCTCTTTTTTATTTTACTTTCCTGTGCCTGGTGCGGTTCTTTTGTTACTTTATTGGTGTTTCTTGATGTCTCAGATTAGTCTGTATTAACAAATTGTATTTGCTCCATGGTAAATGCTAGTGTTCTTTACCCCTTTTGTTTCCTGTTCTTTTTTCCTGTTTTAGTTTTCAGGATGTAGATCCTGAGTTCCATCTCCTTGAGTAGAAGGAATTCTTCCTGAACCAGCTGTTTGCAGCTGGATAATGGGGCAAGGGCCTGGTGTGTGCAGCCTAGAGTGAGCAGCTCTTCCTTGGGTCCCAGATTTATGAGTGTGTGCATGTGTCTGTGTGTGTACACACATGTGAGCGTGTGCATGTGAGTGCACATGTGCAAATTAATGAATTGTGTACAGGTGTGATTGCATGTGTGTGAGTGCATGTAAGCGCACACATGTATGGCTGTGCACACAAGTATGTGCATCTGTAGGTGTGCATGTGTGTGTGTGTGTGCATGCATGCATATGAGTGTAAAGTACTTTATCCTTTCCTCGACTTAAGAAAAGCAGAGACCAGCAGTGAACAATCACCCTGTCCCCACCCTGCAGCTTGGTGGTGAAGATGTACAAGGGTCAGTTTTCCAATTTAGTTCTACCTGTCCTGACTTTCCATCAGTGAGTTTTCGGGAGAAGTGGGCAGAGGCATTTTTGTTCCACCATTTTTACAACTGCAAGTATTCTACTTAATGTACAACATTTATAAAATTTTGTGCATTATTTTTACTATTTTATATTTTTTGGTAACAGCTTTAAGATAAAATTCAAATAGTATGCAATTCACCCATTAAAAGTGCACAATTCATTGGCTTTGGTATAGTCACAGAGTTGGGCCATGGACACCACAGTCAATTTTAGAACATTTTCATTACTCCAGAAAGAAACCCCACAGCTTTTAGCTGTCACCCACTGTAAACTTCCTATACCCCTCCCTACTTATTAGGGAACCATAAATCTACTCTCTGTTTCTTTAAGTTTGCCTATATTTTATAAATGGAATGATACAATATATGGTCCTTTGTGACTGGCTCCTTTCATCTAGTGTAATGCTTTGTAGGTTCTTGTTTGTTGTAGCATGTATTGATACTTGATTCCTTTTTATGGCTGAATAATATTCCATGATATGAATATACCACATTTTATTTATTCATTCACCAATTGATGAGCATTTGAGTAGTTTCTGTCCTCTGACATACAAGTTTTTGCATAGACATAGGTTTTGTTTCTTCTGGATACATGCCTTGGAGGAGAACTGCTGGACCACATGCTAATCCCTTTTGACTTTTTGAGGACCTACCAGACTGATTTCCAAAGCCACTGCACCATTTTACAGCCCACCCTTCATACCCCATGTATGAAGACTCTGATTTTTTTCAAATTTTTTCTAACATTTGTTTTCATCTGATAACTTTTTGATTATAGCCATCCTATAGTGGATGTGAATTGATATTTCATTGTGGTTTTGATTTGCATTTCCCTGATGAGGGTGATGTTGGGCATCTTTTCATGTGCCTGTTGGCACTGTGTATTTTCTTTACCAAAATGTCTGTTCAGATCCTTTGCCCAACCACCTTGTCTTTTTTTTTTTTTTTGGTTTGATTTTATTTATTTATTTATTTTTGAGAGAGAGAAAGAGTGCAAGTGGGGGAGGAGCAGAGAGAGAGGGGACACAGAATTGCAAGCAGACTCCAGGCTCTGAGCTGTCAGCACAGAGCCCAATGTGGGGCTCCAACTCACAAACCATGAGATTGTGACCTGAGCTGAAGTTGGAAGCTTAACCGACTGAGCCACCCAGGCACCCCCCCCAACTTGTCTTTTTATTATTAAATTGTACGTGTGTTCTACATACAGCTTCTCTCATCAATTATATGATTAGCAAATATTCTCTCCCATTCTATGGGTTATCTTTTAATTTTCTTCATGTTATCAAAAGTTTTTAACTTCAGTGAAGTCTAATTTATGTTTTTTTCTTACTTGTGCTTTTGATGTCATACAAAAGAAACCATTGCCTAATCCAAGGTCATGAAGATTTACTTCTGTTTTCTTAAAGTTGTATGGTTTTGACTCTTGCATTTAGATCTTTGATGTTCTTTGAATTAATGTTTGTATGTGGTGTGAGGTAGAGGTCCAGCTTTATTCTTTTGCATGTGGATATCCAGTTGTCCCAGCACCATTTGTTAAAGAGATTGTTCTTCTGACTAAATGATCTGGGCATGGTTGTTGAATACCAGTTGACCATAAATTTGAGGGTTGATTTTTGGACCCTATATTTCATTGCTCTGTGTGTCCATACTTCTGCCAGTACCACACAGTCTTGCTGACTATAGTTTTGTAATAAGGTTTGAGATTAGGAAGTGTGAGTCCTCCAACTTTGTCCTTCTTTTTCAAGATTGTTTTGACTTGTCCAGATCCCTCACATTTCCGTCTGATGGATCCACCTAATCCACCTAATGAATTAGTTTGTCAATCTGCAAGGAAGCAGCTGGAATTCTGACAGGGATTGTGTTGAATATGTTGATCCATTTTGGAAGTTTTGCCATCTTAACACTGTTAAGCCTTGTAATCCACTGACATGGGATGTCTCTCCATTATCTTAGTTCCTTTGCCTGTATATTTTGCAAATGTGGAACCCCTTTCTTCCTGGCTCACCCTCTATGGCTGTTTTATGGTTCTGAGGAGTAAAATGTGAAGTAATGGTATAAATGCAGCTATAAAAGCCCAGAGAGCAACACTGCTGAAACAGCAAGTGGATGGCCCATGGCCACAGAGTTTTTTCAAAAGGTTTCTAGTTAGCTGCTGTTCAGAAATCTAAACGTAGTATAAAAAAGACACTTTAAGAGAGTCACTGCATGGAACGTGGGTCTCAAAGCCACTCAGGTAGGTCACCCTATGCGGGCATTCCAGTAAAGCCCTGACAAGCCCTCTCTGCAGTCTGTGGAAAGTGAATTCTCTCTCTGCATTCTGCAACAGTAGGGAAATTGATTTTTTAAAATTGTATTTTGAACATTTTAACCTGCAGGAAAGATAAAACCATAGTACAGTCAGTACTTTTCCATGGACTCACATCTGAATCCAAGACACACATTCTCATCATTATGCATGTGTACACACTCACGACACACCCTTTTTCAAGGCTTGGTTTTGTTTGTTTAACTTTTCCTTTAGGAGCAACATTAGATTTGCAGGGAGCCACAAACATAGTGTGGAGTACCATGTAGCCCTCCCTCAGTTCCCCCTAATATTAGTATCTTGCATGACCACAACACAGTTATCAAAGTAAGCTAGCACTGGCTCAGCACTTTCTTCACATTTTTAACCAGTTTTTCCTCTAATATTGTCTGTCCCTGGACCAAATCCAGGGCCCTCTAGTTATTATGTCTCCTTAATCTCCTCCCATTGGCGATGGTGGTTGGTCTTTCCTCATCTTTCACAACATTGGACAATCTGATGAATACTGGCCAGGGAGTTCATAAAACAACCCTTAGTTGGTGCCCATACAAGGTTTTCTCCAAATTAGTGTGGGTTATCGAGCTTAGAAAGAATACCTCAAGCCATGGAGCCCCCTTCTCATCACAGCACATCATCACAACCCATCACTGGTGATGTTAACCTTGTCACCAGGGGAAGGTGGTGTCAGCAGGTTCTTCCCCTGTGAAGTTACAGGTTCCCTCCCAGACTCACCTCAGCCAACTCACCCTCAAGGGGGAGGGGATTGAGCACCACCTGCTGGAGTGAAGAATATCAGAGAATTTTTTGACATTTGTTAAAACCACATGGTAATGAGTATATACTTTGGGGGAGATATTAGGCTGTGCAGATAGTAAAGCTGTGCCAGCTGGCTTCAGAGTTCAGCTGTGGCTGTTGTCTGCAGCAGTTACACCGTGCTGTCCTCATGCTGATTTTCTGTTTCGCTCGTTCCATCTGCATGCATTCATTGGAATTTATCTGTGAGGAATATTTCTCCCTTCTTCCCCATTTATTTTTCCAGACCTTACTTTTGATGGCAGGAAGCAGCATAGAGTCCTGTATAAAAGCAAGACTCTGAGGGCCAGATTGTGGCTCTGCCACTGCCACCCAGTGGCCCCACTGGGTGGTTTGTGAGGAGTAAATGGTACCATGCATGGGAAGGGCTTAGAACCCAACTCAGCTCCCAGTGAGTGTGGGTGGTCATCCTCTTTGTTTACATAGAAAGTCACATATTCCAATCCCCCAGAGCCAGCCAATAGGCAGTAGAAACTTTCCTGACTTGTGTCCGTCCATCCATCCATCCATCCAGTTGTGTTGACTGTGTGGTGTTTACTGAGTACTTAACATGGGTATTAAAAGCTGTTAATACTTGAAAATATCCCCCCCCCCCCCCCCGCACTCCTCCCCCCCCCCCAAGTTGTTTCATCCTGTGTTAGAGATTTGAAGAGGTCACTTGCTCAAGGGCTCATGGTGGGGAAGAGGCCAAGCTAAGTTCAGAGCTGGCTCTATCCATTCTGGGAGCCTTGTTCCCTACCACTGCCCTGCCCTGCCTCCTCCCATCTAGGGAGGCCAGCTTATATCCAGAAGGGCAATGAGCAGAGTTTTGCTATAGAAGGGTCCTGGGCGTGCTGCCTTTGGAAAGCTGAGTTTGGCCAAGACTCGGCAAAGGGAGTGAGCCCATTTAGGGGGGATTGTGGGTAGCCTAAATGAGACCCCTAAGTAGGTGCCTTTACGAATCTGCCCATCACCCTAATCTTCCTCATGTGTCAGGATGGAAAAGAAATCTAAGATTCTTTCTTTTGTCTCCTCAGCGCATCTATTATCTTTCCCTGGAATTCTACATGGGCCGCACACTGCAGAACACAATGGTGAACCTGGGCCTTCAGAATGCTTGTGATGAAGCCATTTATCAGGTACAGTGCATTGGGGCTGGGCTGGTGGGTAGCCTCTTGCAGCACACTGAGTTTTAATCCAGGCCCCACAGAGGTGAGCATTGATGTTGAGATTTGCTGCCGTCTGGGGCTGGTAGTGACTTACAGCATAGTCTGTCCTACATGGGGGAGACTAGGTTGGTGGGTGACACTCTTTCTCAAGGGGAAAAAGTAAGGATTGGATGGGAAACTAATACATGGGAGTGCAAGCATGGCTTTTCATTGTGGTGCTAAGGTTTCAAGGCTTCTAGGAGCCATTGTACTCCTCACACCTGCCCCAGGGTCAGATTTACCCCAGGGCAGAAGTGCTTGGTATTGTCCATTTCATTCTTGCCTTACTGAACTAGTAACCCACCTCTGGGCCCCTCTCCCACCCCAGGCAACTTTTTGTGCTCATCTTACTCTCTAGGTATAAAATTGCCCCTTCTCCCCAGTCGGAATAAAAACTGTCTTTGCTTAAGGGTCTTAATGAACACTTATTCACTTGGAGGCTAACTCCGTACACAGTTCATTTGTGGTTTTAGAGCAGAGCTGAAATCCATCCTGTCTGTTTTCTGCTCTCTACCCACCTCCCTGGACACCCATCTTCCTCCTGTACTGGACACTCAGTGTACAATTTGTAGGGTGTGAATATGTAGCACTTCTGCCCTTCTGCACGTACATAGCAGGGTCTTCACCAGAGTCTTCCCTCCCCCAGCACCTTCCACTGCCTTTGCTTTGGTTCAGTTTAGGGTGGGAGGCACTCTGGGGGCCCTGTTGGTAGCAGCATGGTGGGGACCTCACATGGGTCTCAGGCATGGTACAATAAAAATTTGGAAAAAGATTGGACTCCCCAAAATGGAAATTGTATGTTCAAAATTATCTAAGAAGAGACTGGAAGAGAAGATGATGTTGGAGTAGGAGGACCCTAGGCTTGCCTCATCCCACAAACACAACTAGATAACTATCAAACCACCCTAAGTACTCCAGAAATCGACCTGAAGAATGATACAACAAACTCCACAACTAAAGGGAGAGAAGAGGCCACATCTAAGAAGGTAGGAAGTACGGAGACACAGTTTGGGAAAGAAATGGATCAGATCGTGCCCACTGTGGTGGGGGAGGGAGCCACTGTTGCAGAAAAGGGCAAGAGATAGACTAGCACACAGGGGAGTGCATGGGATAGATAAATCTCCATAGCAGTTGACTTGGAAAGTGAGAGAGGTTCAGTTTCATGACTTCTTGTGACCAGTGGGGCTTAAAGGCTGGAGGGCTTTTGTTTGTTTGTTTGTTTTGTTTTTTTAATTGATTTTCTTGAGTGGTGGAGCAAAGAAGAGGGAGAGAGATAATCCCAAGCAGGCCCTGCACTGTCAGTGTAGGGCCCAACATAGAGCCTGACACAGAGCTTGAACTCATGAACTGTGAGATCATGACTTGAGCCAAACCAAGAATAGGATGCTTAACTAACTGAGCCATCCAGGCACCCCTTAAAGGCTGGAATTTTAAAGTTCAACAGGCTTGGCTGGGATAGAACCCAGAGGCATTGGATTGCTCTTGGAGAAAAGGCAGACAAATACCTTTAGATATACTGTGTGGACACAACAATCTGGAGAGGACCTGGAACACACAGTGGGAAGGGTGTATGCTCATTTTGGAGTGTGTTCTAGAGAGGCAGCATTTACAGAGACCCCTCTGAGAACAAAGGAACTGGCAGGCACCGCTTCTCTCCCCTACCCATCAGTATAAGCACAGGGCCACTTGCGGGAACCAGCATAGTGCCATCACTCCCTAAGTAACTTGCTTTCACAAAGTCATGCCCGCAGCATCCTGGTGGAACTGCCCCTCCCAGTCATGCTTGCCTCAGTCCTGGGGTGGCAGGTCCCTTCCCCCCAGAAGACTGGTTCAAACCCCTACTTACACCATGTCTCCCATTGTGAGAGTTTTGAGAGGCCTTGGTTTCAGCAGTGGTGGAGACAGGTCTCATTTCACAAGCTGACCAGAGCACACCTAGTCAAAAGTTGCCACATTCAGGCCAGGGATTAAACATTGCCCACAATAGACAAAGACGACCTCTGCAGATGATTGGTCTCAAGGATAAAGCAGCCAGAACACAATAGTTGAGCACACACAGCACACATTGGAGACACTCCCTGAAGCATCAGGTTTTGGAGAATAGGGGACACTACACTGCAGGACACTACAGGACCTCTTTTTCATAAAACCATTACTCTCAAGAATAGGAGATGTAGCTGACTTTCCCAACATACAGAAATAGGCATAGAGACTTAAAATGAGAAGACAGAGAAATTTATCCCAAATGAAAGAACAAGATAAGGCCACAGCTGGAGATCTAAGCAAGAGAGACATAAGTAACATACCTGATAGAGAATTTAAAGTCCAGATACTTGTTGGACTTCAGAAAAGAATGGAAGGCATTGGTGAGATGATCAACACTGAGATAAGGAATAACATAAGAAAGATAAAGCGTTCGATAGGAGAAATGAGAAACACACTTGATGGAATGAACAGCAGGCTGGAAAATGCAGAGGAAGCAATTAATGACTTAGAACAAATGACTCCATCAAACAATAACATTATAGGGATCCCAGAAGAGATAGACAAGGGGGCAGCAAATTTAGTTGAGGAAGTAATGGCTGAAAACTTCCTTAATCTGGGGAAGGAAACAATGTCCAGATCCAGGAAGCCCAGAGTACCCCCAACAGACTCAACAAAAGCAATCCATACCTAAAACACAGGGAAGAGAGGAGTAAACAATTGGTTGACACTTAAACAACCATCAACTTAATATAGACTGCTACATGCAGAAGATGGTATATATAAACCTAATGGTAACCACAAATCAAAAACCACTAACAAATATGCAAAGAATAAAGAGCAAGAAATCCAAATATATCACTAAAGAAAACCAGCAAGCCATGAAAGAAAGAGAAGGGTCAGAGAAAAACTTCAGAAAAAAACAGAAAATAAGTAATAACATGGCAATAAATACATATCTATCAGTAATGATTTTGAATGTGAATGGACTAAATGTTCCAATCAAAAGACATAGGGTGTCAGAATGGATTTAAAAAAAAAAAAAAAGACCAGTCTATATGCTGCCTATAAGAGACTCATTTTAAACCTAAACACACCTACAGATTGAAAGTGAGGGATGGAGAAACATTTATCATGCAAATAGATGTCAGAAGAAGCTGGAGAAGCAATATTTATTTCAGACAAAATAGATTTCACAACAAAGAATGTGACAAGAGACCAAGAAGGGCACTATATAATAATAAAGGGGGCAATCCAATAAGAATATATAATTTAAATATTTATGTACCCAACATGGAGGAACCCAAATACGTAAAATTGTTATAATAAACACAAAGGAACTGTTTGGTAATAATACAGTAATAGTGGAGGACTTTAATACCCCTGTTACATTGATGGATAGATCATCCAAACAGAAATTCAATAAGGAAACCATGGCTTTCAATGACACATAGGACCAGGTGGATTTAACAGATATATTTAGAATATTCCATATTAAAACAGCAGAATGCACATTCTTTTCAGGTGCACATAGAACATTCTCCAGAATAGATCACATATTAAGCCACAAAACAAGTCTCAACAAATTCAAAAGGATTGAAGTCATACCATGCATCTTTTTGTAGTGTTGATACCACACTATGAAACTAGAAATCATAAGAAAAAAATCTGGAAACCACAAATACTTTGAGGGTAGATAACATGCTGCTGAACAATGAGTGGGTTAACAAAGAAATCAAATAAGAAATCCAAAAGTACATGGAAATAAAAGTACATGAAAATTAAAACACAATGTCTAAAACCTTTGGGATATAGCAAAAGTGGTTCTAAGAGGAGGTTTATAACAATATAGGCCTACCTCAAGAAGCAAGAAAAATCAAAAACAAAAACAAAACAAAACAAAACAAAAAAAACCTAACCTTGCACCTAAAACAGCTAGAAAAAGAAGAACAAACAAAACCCCAAACCGGCACAAGGAAGGAAATAATAAAGATTAGAGCAGAAATAAATTATATAGAAACTAAAAAACCAGAACAGATAAATGAAACCAGCAGCTCGTTCTTTGAAAAGATCAACAAAATAGATAAACATCTAGCCAGACTCATCAAAAAATAAGAGAAAGGATTCAAATAAATAAAATTTCAAATGAAAGAGGAGAAATAACAACCAATGCCACAGATATACAAACAATTGTAAGAGAATATTATGAAACACTATATGCCCACAAACTGGACAACCTAGAAGAAATGGATAAATTCCTACAAACATATAATCCACCAAAACTAAAGCAGGAGAAATAGAAATTTTGAATAGATGATTACCAGCAAAGAAATCAAATCAGTAATCAAAAAACTCCCAACAAACAAAAGCTCAGGACCATATACCTTCACAGGCAAATTCTACCTAACATTTAAAGAAGAGTTAATACCTATTCTTCTCAAACTTTTCCAAAAAATAGAGAGGAAGGGAAACTTCCATATTTACTCTATGAGGCCAGCATTACCCTGATACCCAAACTAGATAAAGACACCACATAAAAAGAGAACTATAGGCCAGTATCCCTGATGAACACAGATTCAAAAATCATCAAAAAAAATTCTAGCAGAGTCCAATACTACATTAAAAAAAAAATCATTCACCACGGTCAAGTGGTATTCCCAGGACACAAGCATAGTTCAAAACTCACAAATCAGTCAACATGAGATATCACATCAGTAGAGAAAGCATTAGAAACCATATCCTTTCAGTAGATGCAGAAAAAGCATTTTTCAAAGAACAACATATGATCACGAAAAAAACAAAGTACAGGGGTGCCTGGGTAGCTCAGCCGGTTAAGAGCCTGACTTAGGCTCAGGTCATGATCTCATGGCTCGTGAGTTTGAGCCCCACATTGAGCCCTGAACAATGCTGTGTCTCCCTCACGCTCTCTGCCCCTCCCCCGCTCGCAC